TCGAATAATCGATTATTATTCGCCAGGGCTGTCAAATAATCGATTTTGATCGTAGGTAGGTAGGTAGGTAGGTAGGTAGGTAGGTAGGTAGGTGGGTAGGTATACAAAAAATGTATAAATAATGATTAAAAAAAGAAATTCAGAACATAAATAACATTTATTTGTATTTATTTTTCCTGCTTAATAATAACAAAAGCAAGTCATAGAGTGTGTGCTTATTATTATTTAAAAAAATATTTGTCTTGGTTTCTCTGGTAGATATTTGTTGGGAAGATTCCCCGGGACTTGTTTGAAGACGAGCTGGTTCCTCTCTTTGAGAAGGCGGGGCCTATCTGGGACCTGCGGCTGATGATGGACCCTCTGAGCGGCCTGAACCGCGGCTACGCCTTCGTCACGTTCTGCACTAAAGAGGCGGCGCAGGAGGCCGTCAAGCTGGTGAGTCTCTGCTCCAGAAACACCTAACACTGTCTCAGGAATCAAGTCAAGCAGCAAGTGTGTGTTGGGCGACATTCCCTTTCATAATCCAATCACATTTAACCAGGAGCTTTGGGGCCAATGGTCCATAATAAGCAAAACAGTTGGAAATGGTTAGTTGTTAAACATATTTCATATCAACACTTAAATTCTGATATACTCAATTGTCATTTATCTATTGTACTTTTGTTGTTTGTTGTGGTAAACACCACAGCAAGTGTGTGTTGGGCGACATTCCCTTTCATAATCCAATCACATTTGACCAGAAGCTTCGGACTAAATTGTCCAAAATCACTAATTAAGTTGAAAGAGAGCCGTATTCTGCTCTTTGGGCTTTTCCTTCTCCTGTAGTGTGTTGTATATTCCATCTGTAATAACGTTGTGTTTTATGAATTTTCACTCTGTAAAGTCTCTTATATAAAATGTATTATTAATATGAGGGGAAAAAAGACCTTTTTAAAGAAACCGTTATTTGTTGTCAACACATTTTTATTAAATTCTGAGTCAATTGTTGTATTCCTATTGTACTTATTTTGGTATATTTAGATTTCTGGTAAACATTTGTTCTTATTTAATTCCTGTTTTTTTTTTCTTATTTAAAAATAAAAAGGTTTTTACAAATAGTCACCGTTTATTCCCTCTAACTGTGTTTATGTACACGGGAGTTAAACCTGATTCTGATGTGCTTCATTCTTCTCTCCAGTGCAATAACCACGAGATCCGCCCCGGTAAACACATCGGTGTGTGTATATCTGTCGCCAACAACCGGCTATTCGTTGGCTCCATTCCCAAGAGTAAAACGAAGGAGCAGATCGTGGAGGAGTTCTCTAAAGTCACAGGTCAACACATCTCATCTGGTTTTAAGCATTTCATTGTGAACTGTCACGCCCACTGTCGAGACTTCTTAATGTTGATGACTTCCTGTCGGTATATGTGTCCATGTTGTTTTTACAGAGGGTCTCAGTGACGTCATACTGTACCACCAACCCGACGACAAGAAGAAAAACCGCGGTTTCTGCTTCCTGGAGTACGAAGATCACAAAACGGCCGCTCAGGCTCGCCGTCGCTTAATGAGCGGAAAGGTGAAGGTTTGGGGGAACGTGGTGACGGTGGAGTGGGCCGACCCCATCGAAAACCCAGACCCCGAGGTCATGGCAAAGGTGAGCGTTAACGGTATTCTAAATCAAAATGTCTCCGTTAGGCTGATCTTACACAGGACTAATCCCACTGTGAGTGAGTGAGTGAGTGAGTGAGTGAGAGAGAGAGTGAGAGAGAGAGAGAGAGAGAGAGTGAGAGAGTGAGAGAGTGAGAGAGAGAGTGAGAGAGAGTGAGAGAGAGAGAGAGAGAGTGAGAGAGAGAGTGAGAGTG